GCTAGTGGAGAATCTGACAATCAGAGTATCTTGCCATAAGCATATGACTCTCATGCTCTCAGACCTCCTCTGACTGCCTATTGTCCACAGGGTGTAGTTAAGATGATGGTTTTGACCTATTAAACTCTAAATGGTTTGGTATTTTCCTACCTGGGAGACCCCCCTCTCTTGCCATGTCAGGCTGCCATATCTGGGATGAGAAGCAGCACTTGAGTTAGATGCCCTTCAGTATAAAACAGAGGGAGTTGACTCAGAGAGCCTGATGGCTCACACACTTGTTCCAAAAGAGGATGAATCTGTTGTAAAGCCCATCTGTTTCATCTGGCATTTGCTGAAGTTGGATGTGAGATTTTTGTAATGTGTGTGCTGACTGATGTTTGGGTGGGAGGAGAAATGTGCTGCTGTTCTGCTGATTTTTCGTATCATTTCTTTAATTATGAGAGAGGAGACTTACAGCCCAGGATAGTATCCTTTTATGTTGTATTGAAATCCAAATACATAAATAAGGTGCTGGTTTTAGCAGCACTCAGAGCCGCTCTCAGACCGACAGGTAGTCTAGGACATGGCTTATACAAGTTTAGTATCACGCTCAGCATGCTACCTGTTCTGACTCCATCCAAGAAAGGATCTTCACCCTTCCCAGTCAAGCCCGTGGGTACAATATAAGGATTACATTTCTGCTTTGCACATTTTGCCCAGCTTTAATGAAAACTTCAGAAGTGCAGGGAGAGGAAGAAATGAACAGACTGAAAATCTTGCTTCATCATGAAACCAGCTCTGTAGCATGCTCTCTTCATCAGTAACGGAATGTAATTGCTACTACAAAATCCATCATCCAAATACAGAAAGTCTCAATGAGCAACAGCTAACCGAAGAACAGGTGATGCAAACCTCTCTGATGCAAGTTTTCTAGTAGACAACAGTGTCAAGCTTTTTCTGGATATAAAGCCTCCTAGTGCAATGTGCATTTGGCAAAGAGACTACAAATTCAGTGCTAATTTGAACAGTAGGACCTTAGTCAAAAAGAGATTCAAAACATTTAATCAATTTATCCACAATAAATATTTTTCACCTATTTTTTAGGAACTGGCAACTGCTATTGCCTGGTGCCCCATACACATACACCTTCCAGTAATATCTGTGATGCATCCGATGAAGTGAGCTGTAGCTCACGAAAGCTTATGCTCAAATAAATTGGTTAGTCTCTAAGGTGCCACAAGTACTCCTTTTCTTTTTGTGATGAGTGGGACACTTTCATTTGAACAATGTGTGGCATTGTTTGTTTGAGACCTAAACTGCCATGTTTCTTTTTTAATTACTATTCATAGCCTCAAATGATGACGCATTAAAGAGAAAGTGTCCTGTTATTTACGGAGTAAAGTAGAAGTAATGTTTGGAGATTATTCAGTCTGAGTCCCTTTCAGGGGCAGGGGCAGGAAGAAGCTTCAGCTTTAACTTTATATTTCCAGGTTGGTGCCAGTTTCAACTGGACATTTCAGGCCTAATTTTGCTTTATGCTGGATTTTGCTGATGGACTAAAACAGGCTACAGGAATCCCAGGGTTAGGGTGGATTTGTAACAGCACAAGGTACCAGTAACCCCATTCTGTAGGGGGTCTGCACAACCCCTAGAGCGGTCAATGTTGGCTGAGGAGGGTATTGGAGGATTCACAAATCGGGGTAACACTTCCAGGTAAGTCTTCCCGCTTAAAGAATGGGGGTTGGAAAAATTGATTTTTTAACTTTCTCCTTTCTAAGCCACTGTGGCTGGGTATATAACATTTTGAATGTAACTGAATTTGGCATTTAGCAATTTTCTTTAGTATTTCTATACTTTCAATTATTATTTCAAATTACAGTAGTTATGTTCTCTTTAAAATATTCATAAATATTTAGCTTGTGGTCATAGTGGACCACAAGTTACATATGAGTCAACAGTGTAAGGCTGTTGCAAAAAAAGCGAACATCATTCTGGGATGTATTAGCAGCAATGTTGTAAGCAAGACACGAGAAGTAATTCTTCCACTCTACTCTGTGCTGGTTAGGCCTTAACTGGAGTACTTTGTCCAGTTCTGGGTGCCACATTTCAAGAAGGATGTGGACAAATTGGAGAGAGTCCAGATATGAGCAACAAAAATAGCTTTATACTTGTTGCAGAACAGCTTTCATTTGGAAATATTTATTATCCAAATTATTTAGCCCAAGAGACATATTCTAGAATACTCTGCCCCTTGTAAATAACACAGCCATCCCAAATTTCATGCCAATTAAAGCCTTCATACCACATCATACATAATCGATTGTCCCACATTCAGTAGGTAGGTGGATTATGCATGTATATATAATGTATGTATGCATGCACGTATAAATGTAAATAAAATATCGTACGTAAATCTTTTGACGCATTTTTGGCTTCTCTTCATATTGCTGTCACCAATAATTCAACCATGACTATCGCAATCTGTTCTTTCGCTACTCCAGACTGTGTTTCATTTGCCATGTGCAATATCCTCCAGTATAATAGGAAAAAAGTGATTTTTTCTATATTTTGTGAGAATAGAGAGAACTCAAGTGCAAACTAAAATTGTGTAGTATCATCACTGGCAACAGGTACTTAGCATTTTAGTGCCTTATATGTTTAAAGCACTATTGAGACATTGAATAGTAAATCCTCACAACTCACCTGTGAGACAGATCAATAAGCATTACTATCCTCACTGTACAGACGGAGAAATTGAAATAGAAAGGTGAAGTGACTTGTCCAAGACAACACAGCAAGTCACTGACAATGCCAGAATTAAGATTCTGGACTTCATGGCTCAGCAGTGTGCTTATTCCTTCAGACAACAATGAATTCCAATACCAGCACTTGCATAAAGATGGTCAAAACAATTACTGACTCAGAGAAGGTAGCAGCAGCTGTGCATGTATACATTTGGTCTACGCTGCAGTTTTAGTTCTGGCACAGTGTTGGGAATGCAAGTAGCAAGATCTTTGAGGGTAGCCAGAAGAATAGTAAACTATACAGAATAACTGCTAAATATTTTTACTGTGTGACAGAGAATTAAAAAAAAAAAAGGTAAAATAAGTAATTCTGATACAGTCCTGTCAGTTGACAAGACATTTAAAAAGTCTGACTCTTTTACCAAAATCTCCTTGACTGGAAGCATAACGTTAGATGAAGATATGCTTAAATCAGAAGCGATTTCCCTTAAGTATGCTCATCATAGAAATATAAGGTGGAAGAGACCTCAAGATGACTTCTAGTTCAGCCCCCTGCACTAAATCAGGACCAAATATACCTAGAATATCATCACTTCACTTTTGCATAATATGGGGACATGCTTAGAAACATCCCAGAAAATAGAGATTATTTGCTGTGAGGTTTCAAAGATTTGAGGAAGAAGCGGAAGTTTTAATTTAGAGCTGTTTACAGAACAGGAGGTTCCAAAGGAAGGATGTTTCCATTCAGTTACTAGTGGTGGAAGTAGTAGCCTTTAAAGATTTTCACATCACTACGTGAATTGTCCTTCCCTTCTATGGAAATTCTCACTCTTTAAGGGCGAACATTTTCATAAATATCTCTAGTATTCTTTGGTGTGGGATGCAGAACAGTAGAGGGGCCTCCATGTGAGGTTTTTCCTGTTTGAGTGGCTTCTAGTTAGTTTCATGTTACTTTAAAAACTGTTTGATTAGGAATTTGTTAGGGGGAAATGTTGCAAGATATAGGAGAAGCAAAAAAAAAATTCCATTTCAGTGATGAGTGTCTTAATTTTGGAGTCTTTCTCCATAGTGTTTCTTATTCCTGGTGCCTTTCTTTTTTTTTTTTTTAAAGAATCATATATAATAATAGCAGATGTTCCCCTGCTACCTTAATGTAGGTCATGGTCTGTTCCAATAACAGTAACAATTTTCTTCTTGAGCTGTAACACTGCTCTCTACCATCTTGCCAAAAGATTTTTGTTCTGTTTTGAAAGGAATATTTTTCACATTTATAAATTATAAAAGAAAAGAGCTATAGTAACATTCAACATGAACTTTGGGGCATGACACAGTTTGAGGCTGTTGTTGTTGTTAGTCTTGCCTATCAAATTTTGGCACATGGAAATTATCCTAATGGACCCTAACCTTTCCAGGCAGGTGTACCAGGTTATCAAACAAACATCAACTGTACTAGTTCAGATAACACACTGAACTGAACTGATCTGATATGGCCACTACCCTCTCCTTGCTTTAAATATGTCCTCAAGCACCACCACTACTATAATGTTGATACAAAATCAGCCAATTAATGATTGGTAAAAAAGCAAATACATGTATGAAAAAAAGTACATGTTTCTCTCTGTGCACCCTTCAAGTGTCACTTGTCTCCTTAGTCTGTAAATTCTTTGGGGCAAGAACTGTCTCTTCATACACATTTCTACAGCGTCTAACATAATGAGGTCCTGATCCTAACTGGAGCTCTGGGCATTATTGTAATGTTGTTTTTTTTAAATCTATGCCCACTGCTTCCAACTCATGTTTATTTCTGGCTGCTCTTAATAAAGCTGAACATTTGGAGCAGCCAAGTTCCACATGGGTTAGAGAGCACACAATATCATGAGAAGTGGGCACCAAAGCATAGCAGACAAACTCACTGTTAAAACCACCATCCTGCAAGCTCTCCATGTAAAGAACTAACATGGAAATCAACTGAACTTTCATTCCTGTAGGGCTTGCCAACCTTAAGACAGGAATGGGAGGGAAAGCCAAAAGTACACAGAAGTATGAAGCTCCAGTGCTGAGGCACCTGTAATTGGTTGGGAGCAACAGTTCTGATTTGTAGCAGTAAGTAGCTTAACTGCCAAAATGTTACAATATTTAATTCAGATTTGACCCATCTAACGTGTCTCTGCAAGATTTGCCAAACATACATTCCCAGCATTAACAGCTTATCAACCTCTTCAATTTCAAACAAAATTCATAAAATTAAGAAATAAAACAAAACAGTATTGTACTTACCGACCGTGATAGAGGACTCACAGTGGTAGTAGCCATTGGGTTGCTTTTTTTTTCAACATGGAGCAAAGATCTAGGCGGTACAGAGTTTCATCTCCAAAATAGTGGTTTTTAAAATTCTCATACAGGTTCGGGTCAATTTTTTTCACCTTTAAATAATCAAAATAAAATTACATTAGTCATTTCACTAGGAGACCAGATTTTCATTTTTATTTTTTATGGTTCTGTTTGGAACAAATGTTTTTTAGAATGAATTTAGAAATATAAATAAATAAAACATTACACTGTAATGTGCCTGATCCTTTGGTCTGGCTGAGCTGTGCTCAGTGCAGGACCTGAGGAGAAGGGGAGAAAAAGTGGCATTACACCACCTTTATGCTACCCGCCCCCCCCCCCAACCCTGTGCGAGTTCAGCCCCCAGCACGAGTTAGAGCGGTCTTAGAGCAGCCCTAACTTCCAATGGCTTGTAACAGCCCCCAAAGGGCCATTATGTAACTGGGGATTATTGGCTCTGTCCACTCTACTCGCAGGAAATTTCCCACTATTGGGAGAATCCCACTTGGCTGTTTATAGCAGCTTTCCTCGTGCCTTTAGACCACCAGAGCAGGGTGGTTTCTACCCAGCCAAACTAGGCTTTTTGCCCTGCTTGTTGACATTTATAAACTTTCATATACTTTTTACAATTAAGCTTACAATTAGGGTAAATTTGTTGGCCTCGTTAACACAATAGAGCTCTTTCAGTGCACTGATTGGGAGGGGGCAGTTATAAGACAAAGCTTTTGCGCAGAGCTGTTACAAAGGGGGGGAGGGGTTTGAAGTTATAGGGCATTGCTGATGAAAATGTTTGATGTGGGATTGTAACAAGGTAGTGGGTATGGGACAGGCATGCCAAGTGACACAGACTTGGCAGCCCTGTCCCTCCTGCTGATATCTCCGCTGGATTTTCACACCTGCAGCTAAGGTGTGAGCAGGCTGTAGGCATTTGCCTGCAGTTGCGCCTTCCAACTGCATGGGGCTGCTGTGGCATCAGCTAAGCTTCCTCTTTTGCTACTCCCTCTGCTGGGATTATAGTCAGGCAGGAAGAGGCAGTAGCGGCTGGCAGTGCAGCACAATCACTGCAAGATGGGAGGCCTAATATTGGCCCCAAGTGTCCACACTACTTTGGTGATCTGCACCAGGCTCCACCAATCAGAAACCCACAGCAAATACTCCAGCCCCAGATGACCAGCAAAACATCCAGTCCCCCACGTACAGCACCCACTCAACTCGGTATCCCCAGTCAATCACCTTTCTACCCACCAATACCAGGCACAGCTGTCGAATTTAATGCAGCTCCACATCCACTCATTACTGTCTGGGTTGGGGTGTGTTGACCATATGCTGAAGTTTATGGTGATATGCAAATTATGTGCACATTATTTGTAAATAGGCATAGTAGTTCATTACATTTGCAAAAAAGCCATACAAGAGCTGCACAAAACTTGGCACTTCCGGTGGGGGTGGGGTTATGGGATGGCACTTGTCTGTGGGCAGGTAGGAGGCAGTTACGGAGCTGTGCTTGTATGTTGGAGGCATTTAAAGGCAGTGTCTTTGGGGGGGGGTGACAGAATTATAGTGTAGAGCCAGACATATCTTTATCTATGGCTCCTCAGCCCCCCTTTTGGGGTCCCTGGCTGGCCAGCAGGATGGGCTGCTGACTGAGACTCCCTCTAGTCTGCACCTGCCAGCCAATCAGCACCCTCCTTGCCCTCAGCTCCTCGCTTTCAATGAGAGGCCCAGAGGGAGCGGGAGATGGAGCAGCTGAGGCAAAAGAACACTGAGCGGCCAGGTAGGGACAGAGACAGCGACAGCCAGGATCAGCCACCGGCCTCGCAGCAGTGAAGACAGGTACGGAGGTACAGAGGTCACGAGGTACGGCGTGAGCAGGACCAGAGTGCGGGACAGTGCTGCTCTCTATGGTACGTGGGGGCTAGAGGAGAATTACAGACCACAGCACTGTGTGGGGGCAGAGCTGTGTGTACAGGGGGATACGAGAGTGGTGCTCCGTACGAGGAAGGGTTATTGAGGTGTGTGGAGGGGGCTGGGCTTACAGGATGGTGTATGATCTGTGGAGGGAGAAAGGCAGCGTTACTGGGTGGGCCTTCTTCAGGGGAAGGTGAGAAGGGAGACAGGTGGGGTCAAGGCGTGTAATGAGCTGTGGGGGTGGGGGGCGAGGGGAAGGGGAGGAGGAATGGGCAGGGATACAGATTACAGCTCAGTAGCTGTGTGGCAGGGTCCAGCCCTGATGAGAATCTGAGCTGAGGGAGTGCTGAGCAGCTGGTAGGGGAAGGAGAAAGAGGCGGGTTAGGAAGATAAACCCCCAGCCTGAGAAGAGCTGCCTGGCCTACATGTGAGGTGGGTGGGTAGGAAGAGAACTGAGATCTGGGAGAAGGGTCATGCTGTGGGGGTGAGGGCAGGGAGGGGGGTTATGGACCATTGCTGTGGGGCGGAGTGGTGCTCTGCCATGTGTGGGACTAGTGTGATCACCTGGGGTGGTGTGTTGTGAATTCGTATGGAGGGCAGGCTTCCAGGGTGGTGCTGGGTTTGTAGGTAGCGGGTGTGGGGTGGCACTGTGTGAATGTGCCCATGGAGGTGGGTCTGTGTGCATAAAATGGGCATTTCCATGAGCACTCATGTATGCCCATACACACAGTTGTGGAGTGTGGCTGTACATCCGAGCAGGCAGTTAGGTGCTGACTCTACTAGCCTTTAATTTCTACAGAGTAGTGTCCATAGCCCACTGCAGTCATGACAGGATACGAGATCCATTCCTCATCATTATTCATACTAACTAGGGATACTTGGGGCCTACTAAAGCCAAACTCTCAGCCCAACCATCCAACTCATTTTGTGGTTCAACCCACCTCCCCGCTCATTACCTCTTAAAGAAAGAGGATTTGCATGCAGCAGGAGTGTGGGTAAAGAGGACTGATGCAAGCAGCAGAAGGCTGTTGGAAAAGGGGCAGGTGGCCCAGAGAGGGAGAGGAGTGAAGTAGATCAGGTAGTGGCTGGGAGGTGGGTAAAATGGACAAGTGATCGGGGTCAGTTGTTATTGGGGAAAGGACTTATAAGATGTGCCAACAAAAATGTCCATCTTCACCAGCAGCACAGCTCCTGGAACTGGCTAGAATGAGCACCACTGCTTCACTGAACACCCATTGTCTCCCATCACCACTGCCTGGGCCTGAACAAGAGGAGGAGCAAGAGCAACCTCAGATATACATGTGTGTGTTGTGGTATGCAGGGCTGCTGGGGATCACTTATTATGACACAGGAGACTGCTCAGTCTACTTCATGCCCGACATGCCTGATAACGAAAACCTCAAGCTGCTGCAGAAAGTGATTGATGAAGTCCTTCCCCGATGCATAGTGACGAGTGCCAAGCAGGATCACAACATTGCCAAATTCCTGACCAATATGGGTGCTGCTACGGGGGACGTGGACAAACCAGAAATCGTCCTCTTTCCCAATATGGACTTTGGCCTGGAAGTGAGCAAACAGCGGATCTTATCTCGGCAATTCCCTTTCATTCCCTCTCATATGACTGCAACAGAGAAAATCCTCTATTTGTCCTCCATCATTCCCTTTGAGAGCCCACTCATGGTTCGAGCACTAGGTGGGCTGTTGAAGTTTCTTGACAGGAGGCGGATCGGAGTTGAACTGGAAGATAGCACAATCGGGGTTCCCATCTTGGCCTTTAAAAAGTTTGTGCTCATGGATATTGTGAATATGGACCAAGATACTTTTTGTGTCCTACAGATATTTAAAAGTGAGGTGCATCCTTCTGTTTACAAGCTGTCCAGTGGGCTGAAAGAAGGACTCAGTTTGTATGGGATTTTGAACCGCTGCAGGTGCAAGTGGGGAGAGAAACTGATGAGGTTGTGGCTCATGCGGCCCACCCGGAACCTTACAGAGCTGAACAAACGGCTGGATGTTATTCAGTTCTTCTTGCTGGCTCAGAACCATGAAACAGTCCTGACTCTTCAAGACTGCCTTAAGAATATAAAAAATGTACCTCAGATTTTGAGAAGAATGAATCTTTCACATACAAAGGTCAGTGACTGGCAGGCACTTTACAAGACAGTTTATAGTGCAGTGTGTCTCAGAGATACATGCCGTTCCCTGCCTAGCAGCATCGAGCTCTTCCAGACCATCTCACAGGTCTTCACCGATGATCTGCACTATATTGCCAGTCTCATCAGCAAAGTGGTAGATTTTGAAGGCAGCATCTCAGAAAACCGCTTCACTGTCAGACCCAATGTGGACTCCACCATTGATGAAAAGAAACGAAAGCTGATGGGTCTCTCAGACTTCCTCACAGAGGTGGCACGGAAGGAATTGGAGACCCTGGACAATCGGATTCCTTCCTGTTGTGTCATCTATATTCCCTTGATTGGATTCCTGCTTTCCATTCCACGGCTGCCCACAATGGTGGACAAGAGTGACTTTGAGATTGAAGGCCTGGACTTCATGTTCTTGTCAGAGGATAAACTGCATTATAGAAGTGCTAGGACAAAGGAACTAGACAGCATTCTGGGTGACCTGCACTGTGAGATCAGAGACCAGGAAACACTTATCATGCACCAGATGCAGACAAAGATCTTGGAGAAGTCGGCAGTGCTTAACAATGTGATTGAGTACACAGCACACCTAGATGTGCTGCTAGCTCTGGCAGTGATGGCTCGAGAGAATAGCTACAGCCGTCCGTGCTTTACCCACCGCCATGGCATCCACATCAAGGATGGCAGGCATCCACTCATGGAGCTATGTGCAAAGACTTTTGTGCCCAATCCTGTGGACAGCGGTGAGGCTAATGGGCGAATAAAGATCCTTACAGGGCCCAACTCATCTGGGAAGAGTGTATACTTAAAAATGGTGGGCCTTATAACATTCATGGCCCTAATCGGCAGCTATGTCCCTGCTGCAGAGGCTGAGATTGGGGCAGTTGATGGGATTTACACCAGGATTCACAGCAGGGAATCAGTATCTGTGGGACTCTCCACTTTCATGATTGATCTCAACCAGGTTGCCAAAGCAGTGAACAACGCCACTGACAGGTCCTTGGTACTTATTGATGAGTTTGGCAAAGGGACCAACACAGTGGATGGCCTCTCCCTTCTGGTCGCTGTGCTGAGGCACTGGCTCAAGCAGGGAACCCAGTGCCCACAGGTCTTTGTCTCCACTAATTTTCACAGCTTGGTGCAGCTGAAGCTCCTTCCTGACACCCCTCTTGTGCAGTACCTGACAATGGAGACCCACCAAGATGGAGATGAGTTAATATTCTTCTATCAGCTCAAGGAGGGGGTGTCCACTGTTAGCCATGCTGCCAATATTGCTGCGTTGGCTGGGGTGCCACCCAAAGTGATTGCACGAGGAGTGGAGGTATCAGAGCTTATCCGAAATGGAAAACCTATTAGACGTATTGATCATCCATCCAAAGGGAGCCAGCTAGAGAGATGCAAGTCTCTGGTGGAAAAGTTCCTTTGCCTAGACCTTGATGACCCCCATGTGGACTTAGAGAAGTTCATGAGTCAGGAAGTGCTGCCCTCTGCAGCCTCCATTCTGTAACCATGTAACTCTAGAAACAATAAGCTATAAGCCTCCCTTGCTGTCAAACAGCAAACATTTTGACGAGAGGGAGCTTAAAATTTCCCTATAATTTCATATTAACGGGAATAATATCCCTCCTTCAATGAATTTTCTTCAACTCCAAATATGAAATGCAATCCAACATACAGAAACAACCACCCAATATCCAGCTGAAAAACACCATGGATGAGGGATATATGTTCTCCGGGGGAGATGAAATAACTTCTGCAATGATCAATAATTTCTCTGACCAGTGCTCCCACACCATATTTAAATTTTAAAACATTATTATAAAAGTTCTGTTTCCTTTTTCCTGTTTCAAACAATTGTTGTGGCTACCTATCTGTCTGAGATGTAATCTTTTTATCTAGTAGTAGCAAAGCAGGAGGCCTGGAGGTCAGGGACCTTGGTTTCTCTTCCACCTGTGTGAACGTGGGGTAAAGTCTTAACCTCTTTGTACCTGTTTACTCATTTGTAAAAAGAGTACATAATAATCTAACTACTTCAAAGCACATATTGAGGCTTAAAGGTTTATAAAGTGCTTTAAGAGTGGCAGATGAAAGGTGCTATAGAAGTACAACGTAGTCATTGCGTACAAGATCATAGTTTGGGACCTCGTTATGATACATCCTTCCTCAGCTGGTAGTACTGTGAGGGTAAAGTGCTCAGTCCCTGATGCAAGAGAGTGTGTTGCATCACACTATAGTGACTCTTCTAGTCACTTTCGTATCAGCATCAAGAGATTGCACAGAAATGTGTGTCCTATTCTCCTGAGTCAGAAAAAACATTTTGTCATTGTGCAGGGAATTGAGAATGAGGATAATAGAGGGGGAAATGGGGAAATGTCATGGGCTATAAGACATTTCTTACACCACTAACCGTCTTGCCCAGAAAAATGGCACTCACAATGGGGATTGCTGATGCAGTGGTTTAACAACCTTATAGTGTATACTTCTGGGAAAGTCCACATTCTAACTCTGCTTATTATTGGTCACCAGTAGAAATTTAATTGTGGTTTCACCCTGATTGCTGCTGGTTGTTTGTCCACATAATAAAGCAATCACATAATTTATCTTAATGGACAGTCTCTGCTCAGGAAAAGCTAGGAGCTGTCATAAATGGAATGTTGCAGGGCAGAATCAGCGTGCATTGGCAGAACCATGTGAGGATGCACTTTGGTCTGTTGAAACAAGAACTGCTCTCTCCCCTTAGGTTCTATATTATAAGAATACAAACTTGTTATTATTTTGACTCCACTTACTTTTAGAAACATACAGACAGCAAGGGAATTGAAGAATGTATTGAGAATTTAAGACAGAGATTAGCATTTTAAATTTTTTCCAAATTTTAAATGAAAATTTGAGGATGGGAAAATTGCACTGGGAAGAAGGGATAGCTAGTCTTTTGCTTCCCCACTTCCCCTCTCCTTGTCCATATAATCAATGAAAGGATCTTTAGTGAATACGATGTTTGACGAATGATGTAATAACAAACATTCATAGCACCAAGCAGCAGCAGCAGAGCATACAGGCGGATAAGGGAAGCAGAAGTAGGACTCAGTGTGCTGACTTTTCTTGTGATGTGATAACTTGACCAGCGGCCACATCCAAACAAAACAGCAGGGCATCTGACAGCTAAGACTGATTGCCAAAACTATGCTATTACTTCTCACAGTACAGCTAGCAGAAGATGTAGACAGTGGTACTATATTTTCTTTATGCTGGACTTGCTTGAGGATGGTGGTTTAAAGGAGCTAAATATGCTAATTTTATTTAAAATGAAGAAAGGTTTGCATGGGTCAGCCACTAACAAAAAAATTAGTTATAACTTCATAACTTTCAATGCTAAATATCTTCTAATCTGTTTAGTGTGTGTAGTTGAAAATGGCAAGTAAAATTAATTTGAGTCATATCAATAGGATTTTGATTGAGACAGAACTTCGATTTTGTTGCAGTGTAGTGATTTTTCCTTTAATGCGTTATGTGGTGTGCTATCAGACTACATAATATACAACTACAGTTTCAAATAAACAAAACATACAATTGTGACAAATTAACAGGAAACGACAACAGGGATAAATTATAGCAACATACAGTTAGTATTGTTTTCAATAGAATTATAATGTACTGTCTTCAAAACAATGTGCACCAACTATGCAATTAACTTGTCATCACTGCAGTTAAATCATAGACTTGTTTACCTAGGGGCCTAAGACACCACTGCACTGCACCCTGTACAGTCACTTGTATTAGTGCAAATTGAGTCTAAAATACTCCCAATCTGATTGCATTCACTTTGCAAATGGTGTCAGTGACTATGCAAGCTGTAGAGCAACAGTGAATCAGGCCTTGTACCTTTACTTTTAAAATAGTCTTGCCTGTGGTTTGTAATTACAAGATTTTGTTTTACTCACTAGGGACCTAATTAAGCAGAAATGATCAGAGAAATTCAGCATAGTCAGGCAGTACAATTTAAGGATTCAATTTCATAATAATATTTGCAGTTCTTTAGCCTCTTGCATCGAAGGCGCTCGAATCACCTTACAGCATTTATCAATGAAGCCTCATGGTAAATAAGTAATAGCTTGAGTCAGTCTCAACCTCTCAATACTTCATTTCACCAAAGTCACACAGCAAGTTAGTGGTAGAGCTGGGAATAGGAGTATGGTCTCTAACCACAAAACGAACTCACTTCTTTCATTATATACTGTAGTGTGTCCAGCACTGTACAATGCATAGAAGATATGGTACCTGCCCCATGGATTTTATTGTTGAAGGCCCCATTCCTGGAAAGACTTACACACATGCATAAAGTTATGCATATGCTCAAGTATTTCCAGGATCAGGACCTAAATTGTTTCATGTTATTCCCTTCTACAGGGGCTCCTAGTCCTACGTAGGAATGGAGAGCGTGGTATCAGCATTTGGGGGAACATTTCAATTAACTCATTCATCCCCAAAATTGTCCCACTGGACCTAGAAGGCCAAGTTTGATTAAATGTCTTCCACTTTCATCAGTTGTGGTAAACTATGTTCTTTCTCTCACCTGAGAAACTGGGGGATGGGAGGGGAGGGGAATTCCAGAGAGATTTTCTCTCATCCGATTAACTCAATGTAAATGTAGCAGCTAACGTTGTTATCCTTCATTAGCTTCTATCCCATTAAATAAAAGAAGTCTGACCTTTTACTTTTCTCTAGCTTTAAATGTCTTAAGGGTAATCTCTTGAAGAGACTTACTTTTCATACCTCTGTAGAGTTACAGAACCTTCATTTTGAACGCAGTAATTTCTTTTATTAAACATTTTACAGCCTTGGAAAAGTAACTTGTCACAATTTTTGTTCCTTAGGAATATCTATCTTTCCCCTGAAGCTCTAGGTATCTTTGCAATAGATAGAGAAATGGAATGTTTTATCAGTTTTCTCAAAATGTAATGTTTATAGATTTAGTGAGATCATTAATCCTCTGAAGGGTTGGGTTAACGGATTGCTTCTTTAAGACAGAAAACCCCAAAATGTTAATGACTTGTGTCCTGAATGTTTATAACTATCCATCTGGTGGTTTGTATTTTAAATTATTTTTGATCTATCAGCTGTTACTTTACAATGTTATATATATGCTCTTCCTACCATAATCTTTATTCGTTTTTCTCTGTTACTTGTAATACTGTTGTTGCATGATCTAAAAATTCATTTAAACCGTTGTTAAAATGTGTTATCTTTACCTTTTTATGCTTTGTTTATTCGCTATACTAAGAGGAAACGTGCACAAAGAACTGATTAAACAATAGGAAATAAAGAATGATAGTAAATGCTGCTTCTTAAGATGGAGAGAGCTTTGACAAGGAAATACTCCATTTAATAGTGTTTACTGTTATTTAATATCAATCTCCCATGGTATTTTTCTACGGCATATCACTTAATAGCTAAGCCACTAGCATATTTATTATTCAGTGTTCTGCAGAAGTAATATGAATTAGGATGACAATAATTTGATTCTGTTATTAACAACTGCGGGGACCAACACATTAGAGTACAGGGCAGCACGATGGAACATGAAATGTACTGCAGATAAATGTAAAATAATGCACATTGGGAAAACAGTAAATATCTCATACACCCAATGGCCTCTGACATTAAAATAAATAACAAAATTAGAAATAACTGTGTATGGTCAATGAAGATCTCTACACAGTTGTGTCACTTTTACAATAGTAAGTGCTATGCCATGTCAGCCAGAACTTGTGCCCTGAAGTCTTTAGTTCCTTCCTTGATTTCCTACCTTTTATGTTTGTTATGCCCTTAAAGTACTGTGGTGAATCTTTAAAGTTTTATTCAAGAAAGAATGTTTTACAATCCAAGATTTTACTCAATCCAACCATATAATTTTCTACTAGCATATTTATTATTTATTTATTATTATATTTATTTATTTATTATATATATTATATATATTTATTATATATATTTATTTATTTATATATTTATTATAATATTTATTATTCAGTGTTCTGCAGAAGTAATATGAATTAGGATGACAATAATTTGATTCTGTTATTAACAACTGCGGGGACCAACACATTAGAGTACAGGGCAGCACGATGGAACATGAAATGTACTGCAGATAAATGTAAAATAATGCACATTGGGAAAACAGTAAATATCTCATACACCCAATGGCCTCTGACATTAAAATAAATAACAAAATTAGAAATAACTGTGTATGGTCAATGAAGATCTCTACACAGTTGTGTCACTTTTACAATAGTAAGTGCTATGCCATGTCAGCCAGAACTTGTGCCCTGAAGTCTTTAGTTCCTTCCTTGATTTCCTACCTTTTATGTTTGTTATGCCCTTAAAGTACTGTGGTGAATCTTTAAAGTTTTATTCAAGAAAGAATGTTTTACAATCCAAGATTTTACTCAATCCAACCATATAATTTTCTACTTAAGCACTGTTGATACCTGGTAGTGGTACTCTCAGTGTTGTTTGTAAACATTTTCCCTGTAATGTTAATCAAAATAAAACACTTTGTTGAAAATGTACACGTAACAGGCTACTGTTAACAGCTCCCTTTTTTCCCCATGCAATGTTTTGACAAATACGCTAGTTCCAACTTTACTTTTGAACGTCACAGAAGCGGTTGATAAGAAATTCACATAAAACGATACACGGGGCAGAAAAAAGTGGTTGCATAGAAATATAGCTCAGTTTAAACTGATGTAGCACAATAACGGAACAGGAGTGGAATGAAAGCTTGGATCAAATAGTTATTGTGGGTCACATTTTTGTGCGCATGATTGCTTTGCTGTTTTTCTCTTTCTTACCATTGTTACACTTTGCCTTTATTGATGTACTATTAACAATAACGATTCGTAGCGCTTATGTAATCAAAGAAGCTAGTGTGGAGTTTTGTGCGCATGAGGCAAGTAATAGTTAACTATAAAAGTGTAGTTAAAAGGATGTGTCGTATCTCTTTCCTTGCTTCTCCTGGCATTCAGCACAGCATACGCAGTAGAAAGAGAGAGGTCACCATTTACATACTGTGCATAATCCAGATATGGATTATGATCTTTATTTGTTTAGAAACTGGTCTTTTCTGCCGCACAGTGTCAACAGAAAACAATCCAAACAAATCAATGTTTCAACTGCACACAAGAAGCATAAGTCTTTCTCAGTACATTACGTGTACCCCATGATACATAATAACCCTGTAAATTTAAATAATTTTATCCCTTGTCTCTATTTTCCAAAAAATGGAAGACAAACATGGTAACGTTTTTGTTTATATAGCACCCAGCACACACAATATGTGTCCTCTCCATAAAAGTTTTCAAGAGCTTAAATAAAGTAGTATGGTTCAATGACCAAGTGAAACAAAGTCATTCTGCCCAATCTACTATAAAACAAACTCAGGTTAAAGCTTCCACTTTTTTCACATGGTAAACAAGAGATGGGAAAAAGAAAAACAACATGTTTATCTTAAAGATAAAACTGGGGGCTTACCCCATGATATAACAAAGTATTTAAGCATGTCCTTTAAGTTTTTTGATTAATCAGGACCTCAATGGGTGAACCATACAAACAAACTGTGGTCTAAAGGGGAAAGTTGTACCTGAAAAATTCCACACCTTTATATTGTTTCACATGTATATTACTATAATTGAATTGCTTGGAATCTCCTTTATTTTTGCTAGACAGAGCATCTGTTGCTGAAGTTGGCACCCTGATGTTGCAATGCTTAACATACCTCCAGTCCCACATAAAATGTAACTGACTTTCCAGATGTCTCCTCACACAGCTCCGTCTATTATAAGCTAAACTTCAGACAGGCAGTAATTGTTTTACCAGGTTTAGAAGACAATTGTAACTATAATGAAAACTCCTGACTTTTCTTATCAAGACCACCTCAAAAGATGGGACAAATACTGCTAAAATTTTTACATGAAATCAGCAAATAACAGTGAGTAAATTTTGGAATTAGTAAAGTTTTTTCAAATACATGTATTCTAAGCACATTTACTACAAAGTATTTTTTTTATAAAATCAATTGACCTAAACAGCTCATATTGTTTCTCTCAATACTGCAGTGAAGCAATTGTTTCCCCAGCTCAGCAAAGGGAAAAAAAAATGTAACACTTGGTTCAGTATAACTGAATGAGTTCTAAAAACTGAGTTAAACTCAAATAAAACAAATATTTATTACTTAGCACTTTCAAAATATCCTAGAGGAAATCCTGGCTCAGTTGAAGTCAATAGGAGTTTTGTCATTGACTTCAGTGAGTTCAAGATTTCATTCCAGGTTTACTGAAATAGTTGCTCCCCCCCACCCCCCCGCCCTTTTCTTTTGTAAGCTTCAGAGACGATGAAGTGTGTAAGTGTGGGGGAGAAGAAGTTAGTTCAAAAGTACAAAAAGAATTGAAGAATTTGATCTGTTGAACTACCTCGATTTCAGAGTATTGGATAATAATACTATATAGATTAATAAATAACTTGCAATGAACAAATTAATAGCTCATTTACACTACCAAAAGCTGAGATAAAGAGCAAATATTTTGGAGAGATCTCCTCTGCACCTGTTCACATCAGCATACATAATTAAACATTTTTAGCAAAGAATATGGAGTTAAAATATCTTGCCCTTATGGCTGATCCTCAATTACTGTGCTTTGGTTCATGCAGAAAGTTGCTTGCCTTTTTTGTTTTCCCATTAGAATGGAAAGTGGAATGCCACTGGGAAAGGATAATGCAGTTGCAAGAAAAACAGGAGGACCTCCCCCACTCCTCCATAGAAGGCAGCCTGAAAGATTATATGATCTATAAACTCGTATTCTTAAAAATGCTTTTCATTCCAGAGTCAGTAGTCCTACATGCTGGACAGTTAATTTCCGTATAATTCAAAAATCTTTATTTAAGGTACACTGGAACAATACTCCAGACAATAATTGTAATCTTTAGATTCTTTTGCAAGAAAAAATAGACCATAACTGTTAATATATCGAGACTATCAAGAGTAATATTTTGTGGTACAACTTAGACAAAACATTTTACATATTAACTTTTTTCATAAAAGACTAATATTTTAAAGTCTTACCAGTCAACCTGGTTACAAAGAAGTAGAACTTTGACTGCTCTAAAATATGGCTAAAGTAAAACTGAAGTGCTTAACATTTGTTCTCTAAAATAAACTTTTTAGATGGCTGCCGTTGTGCTGCATCAAATTTGAGCTTACCTGCTTACGTAGCTCTGGTGATTTTGACAGCTTCATGAAGGTCAAGTGAGGTTTACAAGCTCTGTTTTCTCCTGCCAAGATGCCTTTTTCTTGAAATATCTTCTTCATGGTCTCTGAAGAATGAAAAATGCAGAGGCCCTAAGATATCAAATACTGTGGATGCTTAAAAATGTGCTTTCAACTGTAATACGAGTCACATCCATCCCAAGTGAAAAGTGAAGATAATCAATAAGAAGGGAAAAGCAGCTTTCTAGTTTCCTTCAAAGTTGCATGTTATATCTGAACAGATCAATCTGATAATTGCAGCTGATCTGAGACACAAGTTACTTCATTTAAAAAGAAATAATTGGCAATCTATTAAAACCAATCAATATCCAGTCTAAAATCTGTTCCTCCTACCACAATAGTACCTTTATATTTAAATTGTTCAGGGATTGCAATGAGTGAAGCAATTGCAAATGACAAAAGAAGAGTTATGGATAATGGGATTCACTAGACAAAGAAAAGCTACTCTGTGTCAAATTTTATGCTCCTTACTTGAATGAAACTCCCATTTCAGGCCAAGGGAATTTTGCTTAATAATCACCAAATTCGGCCTAATTGTGAAGGGCAAAGATTGAGAACAGGTCAAATGTGATGTTCTTCACCAGTGCTCCACAGCTAGTTAAAAATAAACAAAAAGCAAACGTCTATCTGTTGCCTTTCTGACGCCTGTGTAAAGTGGAATGTGCAGTTCAACTGACTGAGAAGACTGGAACTTTTCTTTTTCATGTGGCTATTTGCCTACATCCAAGGCTAGGCAAAGCTTCTATATTGACCTCTCTTACTCCCTCCCAGCCCATCTACCTAGAACAATATAAATGTTCAGCTTACTGGAAATTAAATCACCACAACTACAATCGAGACTAATGAAATCTATCATAGTGATCTTGGACCCCATTAGACCAGATACTATCTAGAATTAGCCATCTTAAACACTACATAGGATGTATGCAACTGTGCTTATTAGGGCATGTCTATACTGGAACATTCAGGAAAGTTAAGGTGAACTAAACATGTGAAATCAATGTGCATAAATTAAAGAATGTTAATCTCCCATGTGGATGCTCTCACTTAAGAGTAGAGTAGTCTTAATCCTCCTTGGTCAGAAGTGGGTTTTTTTAAATACTCTCTGAAATTATACCTTAGAAAATTAAAACTAAAACTTGCTTCCTGTCTATTCTGTTTTTATAAATATACTAAACAGGTTAAAGTATGAGTATTAAGTTACAGCAAGTTAAGGTCACCTTACCCCTGAATGAGAGCATCCACACATGGAGTAGGTGGGGGAGGAGAGGTTTGGGGTTAAATGAGCTTTAATATATGTTCCTTTAATTGATTTGCCTTAACTTTCCTGAGTATTTGTGTCTGTAGACAAGCGCTTGGTGTTTTCAATGGGACGACTCACAGTATGTAAAGTTAAGCATGTGCCTAAGCCTTCGTAGAATCAGGATCTAAAGGGGCACTGCAAAAGTTTTGACCTTAAAATTGGTCTAATTTAAAGCTGTGGTTACAGTATGTTGTAGAGAAAATCCTCTGGATTTGACAAGGCATAACTTCACATTATCTTTCATATCCTTTAAGTGACTATTTCCCCCAAGTGCACTCTGCAAAAATACATGATCTTAGCTAACTAAAACTAAAACCTAGCCCATTCATAACATTAGTTAGGAAACAAATTTTATTTAGGTTTCTAAGGTATAATTACAGTGTATTTTTAAAAGAAACTTAAATTATGAAAGATACCATCTTACTGTTTTTAAATCCAGAGGATTTTTCTCTACCATATTTATTTTTTTAATTTTTTCAGTTTACTAAAAGAACATCTACCTGTAAGTAGTTGTCACTTGGCCATATATTTAAAATATAGGTCCTGATCCTGCAGTCACTTAGGCACACATTTCACGATATGCCAATTTGAATTCAAGAAGACTATTCAAGTACTGAGTTATGCACATGCTTAAGTGTTTGTAGTATAGGGCCCATATGCAATAACAAATCCTTACCAAAATGTGTTCACTTATTGCATGTTTCTGCGTGCCCACACACAGGGGTCTGTTTTGGGGTTACTTTTGAGTGGTTTCAGCTTTTTAAAACAAAAATAAACTACAGTGATAGCATTTATTTAAAGAATACGTAGGGGTCAATTCTATACTTGTTTCTGTGGCCACCAAGAGTTCTGATAGTGGAACTAGTAAGAGGGAGTGAACAGGATTGGCTGGGGGGGGTGCACCCCCTACCTTGTGTGCAGATGAATTCTAGAGTAGTTTCCTGCACACCAAGGCAGTAAGGATAGGAAGGGCATGGTGGACTGGAAGATTTGCTCCCATGTAGAACCTCCCATACCTGCAGAGGGGACACATCAGGATTCTGTGACCTGTCCTATTAAATCGTCAAGGCTGTAACACTGGTTGAAGAGTGGCTCTGTGGAGAGGATTCACAGTTTATGGAGAGGAATCACTCTTCATTTTCTCATCAGTGCCCAATCTGGCTATTCTGGCAAGAAACAGGATTGAAGGTTTTCTCCATAGAGAATAACATTTTATAACAGAAAAGAGAGAATATGCTGTGCGCATTCTAAACATGATGGTGGCTTATTTACTTTCAAGACTAAAACCCCACAAATCTCTGTAGACTGGAATTTGCTCCCACTGAAGTCAATGGCAAAACTCTCATTAATTTCAATGGGAGGCAGGATCCAGCCCTCTTTTTGTAGTATCCAAAAGTAACTAACAAACCCCAGAAGTTCTACTGGCATCAGTAGAAATTTATTTATTTTATTTTTTCTTTGAAAAATTGCTCTTCTTTTTTTGACCAGCTCTAAACTCAAGGAGCCCCACTATATCCAATATGAAGGTGAGGTTGGATGGAAGGAAAATGGACTCCTAAATCAGTTGATTTTCACCATTACCTATCCTAGTAATGCATATGCAGATGCATTCAGTAGCATATTTTTAATGTTTCGTAGCATGAATTAATACTCCTGGGTTCTATTCCCAGCTCTGCCACCAACCTGCTACATGATGTTGGGCAAGTCACTGCTCCTCTCTATGCTTCTGTCTCCCCTCCTATTCTTTGTCTTCTCTATTTTGACTTTAAGCTCTTAAAGGCAGGGACTGTCTCTCTGTCCACGTGTACATTACCTAACCCAAAGGGCACTGCTCTCGGTTTGGGAGTCCACATACTACCATAAATAAAATAATAAATGCTAAAATGATATAAGCTGCCTTTCCTTTTCTCCACCTTCAAGACCCACTGGGCTTCATGCAATAAGGGGCTCCCCTTGAAGCGCCTCACTATTCTTGGGGAGAAATAAGCTTAGATCACAAGAAACTTCCTCCCCACTGAGAACGTCTGCTTGTCCTTTTGGAAGGTACTTTGAGATCCACTGATGAGAGTGCTATATAAGAGCTTGGTATTATATTACTGTATAAAATATTGTTTCTCTTCTCTGCCAAGGGAGAGTCCAGACAAAATACATGTGGTGGTGGACAGTGTAAATACTTATTCATTTTAGCTGCAGCCCGGAATCAGATATTTAACACAGAGTAGCAAATATTCAATAGGCTGAATTCTACATAAACACACCAAAGCAAAAATTGACCCCATAAAGATGAAATTCATCCCTGTGCAGAGGGCCAGCATAGGGTCTGTGAACCATTTACATCTCACTTGAGGCTGGCCCTCTGCGTGGGGTGAATTTAACCAAGAAATAGGGAAACTAATAGGGTAGTTGTGTCCATTGGTTTAAAATATACTCTAAAATGCACATTTGTTTTCTTTCCTTCATGGTTTTTCATCCAATTCAATTTATACAAGGAAGGCTGCAATATTTTTCCTGTATTTAGAGAAGGAATGCTATAACAAGATTTGGGAATCTGGCTTTATGTCAAGAGTTTTTCCATTGAAGTGCCAAATTAATAACAGGTTTCAGAGGAACAGCCGTGTTAGTCTGTATTCGCAAAAAGAAAAGGAGTACTTGTGGCACCTTAGAGACTAACCAATTTATTTGAGCATGAGCTTTCGTGAGCTACAGCTCACTTCATCAGATGCATACCGTGGAAACTGCAGCAGACTTTATATATACACAGAGAATATGAAACAATACCTCCTCCCACCCCACTGTCCTGCTGGTAATAGCTTATCTAAAGTGATCAACAGGTGGGCCATTTCCAGCACAAATCCAGGTTTTCTCACCCTCCACCCCCACACACAAATTCACTCTCCTGCTGGTGCTAGCCCATCCAAAGTGACAACTCTTTACATAATCAAGTCGGGCTATTTCCTGCATAGATCCAGGTTTTCTCACATCCCCCCCCACCCCCATACACACACAAACTCACTCTCCTGCTGGTAATAGCTCATCTAAACTGACCACTCTCCAAGTTTAAATCCAAGTTAAACCAGAGCATCTGGGGGGGGGGGGTTAGGAATTATTAAGGATCTACAACCTATCCTAAAGGATGACCCAACACTCTCACAAGTCTTGGGAGACAGGCCAGTCCTTGCCTACAGACAGCCCCGCAACCTGAAGCAAATACTCACCAACAACCACATACCACACAACACAACCACTAACCCAGGAACTTATCCTTGCAACAAAGCCCGTTGCCAATTGTGCCCACATATCTATTCAGGGGACACCATCACAGGGCCTAATAACATCAGCCACACTATCAGAGGCTCGTTCACCTGCACATCCACCAATGTGATATATGCCATCATGTGCCAGCAATGCCCCTCTGCCATGTACATTGGTCAAACTGGACAGTCTCTATGTTATTACATTTATTTCAAAAAAATCTGCATTGCTCTGTAACAAATGCATGTTATAGTCTCATAGGTGTTTGATCTGTATTGTTTTGTGTATTTAGCAACCCTAGTCCTCACTACAAAGAAGGATTTTTCTTATTAAAACAAACAATTCTGCACCAGCCTCTGATGCTTTCTCTCAGCCCAGTGCACTGCACTGTTTTTGTTTCTCTGCTTCGGGCTCTGTTCTGCCATCCACACTTACACTAAAAAGGACTTTAGGTCCAAATCCTGCAATCAAGATTTGCATGAATGGAACCCT